CTCTGAGGACTTGCCAATAAAACAGGACATGGTGACTTAGCAGCCTAGAGAGAGCGAATGCAAACATGGCTGGTCTAGAATCTGGAGCTATACTTGGCTGTCCACACAGCCGAAAATTCAAGCAGTATCACAGATTGATAACAAAATATCTGGGTAAGATGGTCTATTTCAGAGAGCAGCAATAACCCCACCTAACACCCACAATCTACTCTGAGACCTGGATAGTCACCCCTGAGGAAGTCACTGTCATTGTCACTGTCCTCCCGTTGTTCATCGATCTGCTCGAGCGGGTCCAGTAACGTCTCCATTGTGACAATTGTTACTGTGTTTGGCATATCGAATACATCACACGTAGCTTGCCAGGCTTTGCCGTGCCCCTGAGGAAGAAATAATGGAATTTATTTTCTAGCCAAACTGGCTTCCTGACTCGCTGGAGCCAGAGGAACCTCATTACCAACCTCTTTTGGCATCATGCCACATCCACCAGAACTGCATCATCAGAAAACTTTTTAAGACTGCTGCACTCTCTGCATTTGTGTACTTTTCTACACCTTAGTAAGGATCAAGGGGTGGGATATAGATGTACGAGTCAGTCCAAGTCAGCCAAGAAATGTCCCCTCCAATATCTCTATCTGAATGCTTTTGAAGTCCTCTACGTTACCCAAGATAAATTCAGTTACCTCCATCTCATTGAAGAAGAGAACTTAGAGATCATGTTTCAACCAACCAACCAAGGGCACCATTAAAGGAAGCCATTCAGACACATTAAGCCTAGAATACATAGTTAGTGCAGTCATTTCAGTACTTGCTGATTCAATATCATAGTCTGTTTACCTTGGTCTGACATCCTTATGGTTAATTCATGTACATATCTTAAGGTTTTCTATTAATAATTTTTTCAAAAGCATTTTTTATTTCTGGGGATGGAGCAATAGTACAATGGGTAGGGCATTTGCCTTGCACACGACTGACCTAGTTTTGGTCCTAAGGCATTTCATATAGTTCCCTGAGCATCACCAGGTGTGGCGCAAAATCCCCTCCCCCAAAATTTTTTTGGGGGAAGATAAACTATTTTCTCCTGAAAAAAGAAAAAAAAAACCTGTGTGCTCTTCCATTATGGGATGATAACATTTGAATCATTATGTCTAGAACTGGAATTTGGAACTATTATCAGGATGAGCATTTGCTGTTAAGTGATGAGCCAAATAAGAAATAGAAGTTATTTTCTCAGTCTTTTTCTGGTGTCCCCTATTGGCAAAACCTAAAGTGGAACCACCTAGCAAAGGAAAAAGAAATGCTTTGCAGTCTCAGCCAGCGCACAGCCTCAGGCTGGTTTTGAAACTTAGTCACAAAAGCCTAATAAATACCAGAGTTGTTTTTTTTTTTTTGTATTGTTTTGTTTTAAAAACTGGTTGCTAAAAGAATGAAATGACATCATAAAATTGTGCCTGATGCATGATAAGTGCTCAAAAGTCATTTGGGAGGACCATCAGTTGAGATAAGCATGATGGTCTTCCTTAATTTTGCAGATGTGGTATATTACATACATTAAACCATCCTTGCATTCTGAGAATAAATTCAACTTGGTAATGTTTTATAATACTTTCAGACTATGTTGAATTTGGTTGGTTAACTTTTTAGAAAATTTTAGAGAGAGAGAAAGAGAGACAGAGACTCTCAGGAGGGAGACTATCCAGGTAAAAAGCATAACTAGATAATTTTCTGACTTCCTTGTTCAGAAAGTCATAGCCAGTTTTTCCATTTGTATGCTGTTTATAGAAAGTGATCACTCTACCTTTCTCTTTCCATTATTCTCTTAATTGCATGTGCATGCTGCAGAAGCCCAATGGAAAAAAACAAACAGTGATTTAGAAGAGAATTTTTGAAAAAAGACTGCTTAGGAGTCTGAAAATAAATACTAGCTGTTCAAAATTTCATGATTAATGAAAAAAACTGACAGTCCTGGATCTCTGATTTGGCTCAGTGGGAAAAATGCAGTGCACTCATTGCTACACCATCCCAGCCTGCTTGTCAAGGACATACCAGGGAAGGCGTCCCAAGGGTCACCTGCTTCTTTACCATGTTCTTGGTGCTGAGTTGGAGATACAAGCTTTGTCCTGTAGCCAAGAAAGCACTTGGGTGATGGGGGGTAGGGAGTTCTCTGTGTTCTTAAGGATCCTTGAGATTAACTTGATGCAGTGTCGCCCAAAATTTCTTTTTTTATAGCACAGCGGGTAGGGCGTTTGCCTTGCACGGAGCCAACATGGCCGACCTGAGTTCGATTCCTCCGCCCCTCTCGGAGAGCCCGGCCAGCTACCGAGAGTATCTCGCCCGCACGGCAGAGCCTGTGAAGCTCCCCGTGACGTATTCCATATGCCAGACACAGTAACAACAAAGTCTCCAATGGAGATGTTACTGGGCCTGCTCGAGCAAATCGATAAACAACGGGAGGACCGTGGACCGTGGACTTAAAAAAAAATCAATTCACAGAGAGATACACAGTTACAAAGTTGTTCATGATTGGATTTCAGTCATATAATGTTCCAACACTTGTCCCTTTACCAGTGTACGTTTCCCACCACCAATGTCTCAAACAGCCCCCCCCGCCCCCTCTGCACCTGTCTCTATGGCAGACACTTCTCTTCTCTTCTCTCTCTCTCTCTCTCTCTCCTAAGATTTCTGATTATTAGTTCCATAGGGTTGGAGCGATAGCACAGCGGGTAGGGCGTTTGCCTTGCACTTGGCCGACTGGAGTTCGATTCCTCCGCCCCTCTTGGAGAGCCCAGCAAACTACCAAGAGTATCTCGCCCACATGGCAAAGCCTGGCAAGCTACCCGTGACATATTCGATATGCCAAAAACAGTAACAATAAGCCTCATAATTTGTTGTGAGACATTTATTGTGCCCGCTCAGGCAAATTAATGAACAACAGGAGGACAGTGACAGTGACAGTGACAGTTCCATAGGGCAGTGACTCTGCTTGAAAATTTTGATTCTATTAGGTCTGAGTTTGGAATTTAGGTTTTGCCTTTTATTTTGATTATTTATTTATGGTTTTGGAGCCACACACAGCTATGCTCAAGCTTGCTCCTGGCTCTGAGCTCAGGGTCACTCCTGGTGGGGTTCAGGGGACTATACGTAGTACCAGGGATTGAACCTGGGCTGGTGTGTGCGTGGCAAGAACCTTACCTGCTGTACTATCATTCTGGTCCTTTTTATTTATTTATTTATTTTAATTTGGGGGGTCAGCTGTACTCAGGGGCTATTCCTGGCTCTGTGCTCAGGATGACCCTTGGTGTTGTTCAAGGGACCATATATGAAGCCAGGGACGGAAACATTGTTAGAGCAAAAGAAGCCTCACCTCCTGTATTATCTCTCCAGCCCCCTCAAAGTTTGTCTTTTATAAGGTGGCCTTGTGATCATCATTAGGGAGGTTTGGGAAGCTCTCTGTGTGGCAGGAGGAGATCTCATTCCCTGGACCTCCATCTAACACTGTGAAAGGGAGCAGACACAATATTTAGCCTCTACAGAGAGACATGTGTGCAAAGGAGGATCTGTTTATCCAAGAAAGGTGGTAGTCCACACATCCTTCTCAGAGTTGGGGTGGGCTACCTCCCCCCACCTCCCAGTACTTCCTGAAGTCTGGGTACTTAAAGTCACTGCCCAGTTAAAAATTTTACTGCAGCTGAACTGCCCAGTTAAAAATTCTAGATTTCCTAGATGACATGCCCAAACTCTACAACACTGATATCCCAGTAGTAGTGGATGAGATTGGATGGGATGTAATGTAGAAATCAAACAATCTTGACTTTAAAAAACAAAACATTAACCCAGAAGGGCTGAACATGTAACAACAGCATAGTGATTCCTCAGAGGAGAACTTAATCCCCCCATGGTGAGATACAACAATTTTCACTATTTTTCTTCTAAGGAAGTAAATTTTGATCATTCCATTTGCAACTTATTGGTAATAAGCAATACAAAATAAATATTGTGGACCTGCTGGGGGGGGGCAGATTTGAGGGGTGGTTGGGAACATTGGAGACAATGGTGGAGGGAAGGTGACAGTGGTGGTGGGATTCATTTTAGAATGTTGAATGCCTGTAACAAATCATCATGAACAATGTTGTAAACCACAGTGTTTAAGTTAAGTGGGGGGCAGGGGGAAGAAAGGAAAAAATGAAAGAAAGGTGGAAGTTTGTGGCTCTTCTGTGGGGCTGTTTGGAAGTCCTGTAGTTACAGATGCCAGTTCACGCTGCTGCAGAGCAAGTCTTCCTTCCGTCCATAGGCCCAGGTTTGCTGGCCAAAGAGCAGGCTGGACAAGGCTGTGCTTTCTTACCCCTGAGACCATGCGCCTGCTCACAGCTGAGCCTCATTCAGCCTCTGCCAATGAGGCGGGACCTAGGAAAGACTCTGCCGTGTCTTCCTCTCCCACAGCTGGAATTATTCCCCAGCTGCTGAAAGGAAAAACAAAACAAAAATAATCTCACACATAACTATCCAGAAAAGGACAGGACCCCCTCTCCCCCGCCACTGCCTCCAGGGCCTGGAGAGTGCCCCAGCATGGGTGCGTCTGTTCTAAAGATTCCTCAATTGGGAAGAAAAGCACAAAGGGTAGGAAAAGGGGCACCTGCCTTTCTTCCAGTGACCTGACCCCATGGGCAAAGTGGGTTAGGCCCCTGAGCATGTGGAGTGGGGTGCGTCTCCCTGCAGGCAGAGAGGCCGTGGGGTCCACACTTTTTGTTTCTACAATCTGGCTCAGGCAGGGTGCAGAGGGGCCTGGAAGCAGCGCTTCCCCGAACAGAACTCAGAGGGTTCATTGTTGACCGGCGGGATAGAGGCTCTGGCTACTGAGCACCTATGAGAAAACGTCAGGCTTCAGTTGGCAGACCTTTACCCCTCTGAGCCAAGTTCACAGGCCGGTGTGTGTCATACCCTGTTAACCACAGAGGCCCAAAGTTCTTCCATCACTAACCCACGCCTGTGATCCCCTGCTCAGCTCGGAGCCTGCACCATCCCGGGCCCGGGACAAAGCGGAGGCAGCATGGAGCCCGGCAGCCGCGGAGCCGAGGACTTCCCGCTCAACATGTTCTCCGTCACGCCCTACACACCCAGCACCGCCGACATCCAAGTGTCGGATGACGACAAGGCAGGGGCCACCTTGCTCTTCTCGGGCATCTTCCTGGGCCTGGTGGGCATCACGTTCACCATCATGGGCTGGATCAAATACCAGGGTGTCTCCCACTTTGAATGGACCCAGCTCCTGGGCCCCATCCTGCTCTCGGTCGGGGTGACGTTCATCCTGATAGCCGTGTGCAAGTTCAAAATGCTCTCCTGCCAGGGCTGTAAAGAGAGCGAGGAGAGGGTCCCGGACTCGGAGCAGACGGCAGGGGGACAGTCGTTCGTTTTCACAGGCATCAACCAACCCATCACTTTCCACGGGGCCACAGTGGTGCAGTATATCCCGCCTCCTTACGGCTCCCCCGAACCCATCAGTGTCAATACTGCCTACCTGCAGCCCGTGGTGAGCCCCTGTGGTCTCATTCCTCCCGGAGGGCCAGTGGCAGCCACGCCCAGCCCTCCGCAGTACTACACCATTTACCCTCCAGAGAACGCTGCCTTCGAGGGGGACCAAGACTGCTATTCCCTCAGGGAGGGCAGAAATAACAGGTAAGGCATGCTCGAGGTGAGTGGGAGGGGGTGGTGCGGGGCACCCTCCTCTTCCAGGAGACACAGCCACACTCCCCAGCTGTGCTGGCTTTGCAAGGAAGGGGGCCAGAGAAGGGGCGTCAAGGGCCTGTGGGCAGTGTCGGGCTCTGAGATCCGGCCCTGGCCCCACCATCTGCTGTGTGCTCTGCTCATGTTTCAGGGCTGAGCAGTTAGAAGCGACGCCGCTGGACCATGAGGACTTGGCCTGCTTCTCTCCTCCCCGCTATGAAGAAATATACTCGCTGCCTCGCTAGACACTCCTGGATGCCTTCAAGACAGTCTTGAAGTCCTTGTTGCTGGTGCCTGCAGAGATAAGACAGCAGTGCTGTCCTGCCTCCACACTCCAGGGGTGCCGGAGGGAAAGAGGGGGGCAACATGTCTCCAATGAGGAAACTGTGAGGTTGGGGTAGAGAAATTCCCTTCCTGTCTAGTTTGGAATCCCCTGCATTGCAAGCAGGAATTTCACCTGCAACCTAACCTCCTTTTTGGGAAAACACATTGTCTCAATCTGACCTCAAACCATCCCCAGAAAGCAGGAGATTGCTTTGGGGGTTGTGAGGGGAGGGAAGAGGGAAGCAGAGGAATGAATACAGGCTCTGTGGGAGGGTTCCCTGTTCTCAGTCCCGAAGAGCATTTGTATATCTCCACTTGATTGCCATCTGGTATCTCTAGAGGAATCTGGATGTCTTCAAGGCTGCAAAAATAAATAACGTGGAATGAAATAGCATACTGTCTTCTGTTACTTGGCTGGCTAAGCCGCACAAAATGAATATTGGGACAATGATGGGGATAAATCAGAAGTTCTCACTGGGTCCCAGTGACTGGCCATTGTCGTTGTCTCTGGCAGGCAGAGTCTGGCAATCTGATGCATGGTGGACCTGGCCCGTGGCTGGCAGAGCTCATGACCCTCTCTGAGCACCCTGTTGAATGAAGTAGGGAAGAGCTGTTCGGAGCAGAGTTGAATTAGGCAGATCAGAGTGGGAAAGCCTGACTCAGGGATCAAAACATGTTCAAGACAGCTTGTCATCGTCTTTGTGAAACACTGCTTGGGTGGCCGGAAACATCTGAACCTGGACTGTGACATAAACAGTGTCTTCAGGATCCTGCAGTCTGCTCAGGATCCTGAACAGACTTTGGGATCTTTAGAAGATCATTGAGACCATCAAGGAGGAAGGAGAATCTTCCCTTGGGCTACAAAGATAAGGGTCTGCCCATCTACAGTGAAGATTAGGTCCTCCCAAAGGAAGACAATATCTAACTATGGGATCATGATTTGTCACTGTGTTCTTACATGGAGTGATCTTCCCTTACCCCAATAATTTTTATCAGAAGTATCTAGTTTTGTTAGAATACAATAGAAATAAACTTTGCATATTATTGTGATATTCCTATCATATCTTATGGGAAAACATTTTTGTAAGAGAATTGATGATTGAAGGTAATGGAAAGATATGGTTCAGCTCACAAACATCAGTTTCTCATTGTTCACATTCTTGAAATACTGTATTCCTAGCTGAGAGCTGAAGGCCGGTGGCTGTGGAGATATGGCCGAGGGTCCCAGGGTCTGCAGCAGATAACATGCAGTTCTTTTTATTTTTCCTTTTTGGGTCACACCTGGCAATGCACAGAGGTTACTCCTGGCTCTGCACTCAGGAATCAGTCCTGGTGGTGCTCAGGGGACCATATGGGATGCTGGGAATTGAACCCGGGTCGGCTGCAAGCAAGGCAAATGCCCTACCCGCTATGCTATCGCTCCAGCCCCAACATGCAATTCTTTAATTCTTGTTGTTTTCCTTCTTTTCTGGTTTTGCGACCACAACCAGCAGTGCTCAGGGGTTACTTCTGGCTTTGTGTTCAGGAATCATTCCCGGTGGGGCTGGGGGATGATATGAGATGCCAGGTGTCAAACCTAGGTCAGTTGGGTGCAAAAGAGGCACTCTGTCTGCTGTACTATCTCTGCAGTCTGCTATTTAGTGTTCTTTCACGTGCCTTCCTGATTCGAGCATCATGGTTATCTTAAAGAGGAAATGATGTTAGGAAAGATCACCTATGGGGCAGGGAGTAGGTGGTGTCTGGGATACCAGAAGTTCCAGAGGTGGGAGAATAAACCTCAGGGATTTTTTGCTCCAGAAGCCAGATTCATTCCATACCACCATCCCTGTTTCAAGATGGTGAGTTAGGGTGAGGGAAGGGAAAATATGCTAACTCGAAAACTATGATTTATGGGTATTTGATCATTGTATAATTGAAACCCAGGCACAAAAGTTTCTAAGTCTGCAACTGTACCTCATGATGTCTCACTAATAAAAATTAAAAAATAATTAAAAAAATAATTAAGGGCTGGAGCGATAGCACAGCGGTAGGGCGTTCGCCTTACAAGCGGCCAACATGGCCGACCCGAGTTCGATTCCTCCGCCCCTCTCGGAGAGCCCGGCAAGCTACCGAGAGTATCTCGCCCGCACGGCAGAGCCTGGCAAGCTCCCCGTGACGTATTCGATATGCCAGACACAGTAACAACAAAGTCTCCAATGGAGACGTTACTGGGCCCGCTCGAGCAAATCGACGATCAACGGGAGGGCCTTTACTTTTTTTCTTTTTTACTTTTTCTTAAAAAAATAAAACTACGATTTCTATGGTCATAAAAAAAAAGCATTAATTTGGGGCTGGAGGGAGAGTACAGGGGTTAAAGCACTTGCCTTACATGTGGCAGACCCCAGTCTGATCCCTGGATCTCTGTCACCAGAGATTAGGTTTCCTGAGCACCACCAGGAGAGATGGGCAAATCAGTTGTGCCCCCCAAACAAACAAAAATTAGTTAAGGAAAAATAAAAAAGAAAATTGCTAACCTAGAGGTAATTTCTGCCTCCAAGGACTGTGAATTGGAGGTGATCATTTAGGAGCTCATGGTGGGAGGTTGGTTAGCAATAGTTAGGCAACGAGAAACTATTCATTCCTCAACACTGATGAAGCAACTATTCTGTGTCAGGACCCAGCCAGGAAGTGGAGAGTACTATACTACCAACCAGGGACCCTGGGGTGTCAGCTCCTGCCTTGCAAGTATAAGGTCATGAGTTCAATCCCCAGAGCCCACTTCTGTGTGTCATACTCAGGACTGACAGTTCTGCCATTTGGGACCACAGCATCACAACAAAGCATTTCTCTGTCCTGTTGCATCTTGGTGTAAGCGAGCAACACAACTAGAATGTGCAAGCCCTGTGGTACATCGCAACAACCACCACCATTGGGGGAGGGGGAAACAAGGAATGGAGAGAAGAAAGGCGGGAGGGAGAGAGGGAGGAAGGAAGGAAGGAAGGAAGGAAGGAAGGAAGGAAGGAAGGAAGGAAGGAATCAGTGTTGGAATGAAAAACTTGCTTTTTTTTTTGTTTAGTATATTTTTAGAGGCTTTCCTAAACTTACAGCCATAGAAAAAATATATACATGAAAAAAATAAAAGATTTAAAGGAAGTATTTAGTGGAGATATATCTATTGTAAAATAGTTTCTAGAATATCAGAAACTCAGAGAGAGAGAGAGAGAGAGAGAGAGAACCAAGGTAAGGCACTAGCCTTACACACAGCTGGCCCCGATTCAGTCCTGGCACCACCTGATCACAGATCCAGGTAGAAACCCCAAAAACAGTAAGAACAACAACAAAAAAGACTCAGCCTTCTAAAGTAGTCAAGCCGCTTGGTCTCTAGTAAATGGAACTCAGAGGTTATTGACTGGTCACATCTTATCAATGAGTTCTCAAATATCCTCAAGTGAAAAACCAATATATATATATATTCTGACACGTCCATAGCTCTACCTTTGAAGGTCCATATATAGAAGTGTGTGAGAGAGTACGTGTATGTATTCACCTACCCTTTCATGTTACTGAACATGATTTATGCTTTTCTTGCCCACTTACTACTTGTAAATCACAGAGAGTTTTATGTCACAAGCAGTCAGCAGTCGGTTATAAAGTCAACAGAGAGCTGTACTAAATAAACCATCCCAGACTGCTCTCAAGAATTGATGGCAGATCAGAACGTGAAGACAACTCCTCGAACCAGCCTCTCACCTGCCTCTGGGACTCTATGCAGCGCTCTCAGAGAGGAACTGTGTTTGTCTTGAGCATTTAAGAAGATTAATAACTAGATGAGCTGGCAAGGAAATCAATTTTCTAGGTTCCAGAAGTTTTCTTCTAACCAAGAATTTGTCCTCCAGCACAAAACCTAACACATGTGTAAATCATAGACTCAAATATGTGTCCTGGAGTCGGAGCTTACACTCAAGGGGCAGAGAAAGAAGCTGATGTACGAAGATGGAGTCTTTCCTGTTGCAGCCTCCCACTTAGGGGTTTAAAGAACAAAGGGTTTTTCTTTCTTCTTTTTAAAAAGGGAATGTGTGTATATTTTTTTGTTTCTTTAATAAATGAATTATCTTTTGAAGAATACAATGAAACTCTGATAATCAGTTCTGGGGCAGAGGATGGGAAATTTAGCTTTCATTATATTCCGTGCTAATTAATGAGTCCTCAAAACCGTGTTCCTCTATTATTTATTCATATGATGAATTTTAGAATCAAAAAAAGGAAGGAATTAGCCCCTTTCCTTTCCATAGGAATATGCTATCTTTTGATTCCCAGAACAAACTATTTTACTAGTTACAAGATACATAGATACAAATGTGATATATATATATATATAAAACATCTCGATGTGAACACAAATATTACTGTAAAATAAATAACCCTCCTTGGGGAGACTTCCAAATGGTGCTTAGGACTTTTGGGGGCCCCATAGGAGATTGTTGGTTAATGAGGCCATCAGTTTAGTGCAAACCTTGAGGATGCAGTGCTGCTCAGGCCCTGAAGTTCTGCAAGTAGAAGAGCCACCCTGGCAGTGCTGGGGATGGATCTCCAAGGCTGGGAATTAAAATAGGGTTGGAGGACCAGAGTGATTGTCCATCAGGTAGGACACTTTCCTTACATGCAGCTGACCCAGGTTCGATCCCCAGCATCCCATATAGTCCCCCAAGCACTGCCAGAAGTAATTCCTGAGTGCAGAACCAGAAGTAACCCCCTGATCATTGCTGAGTGTGACCCAAAAGTAAAAAAAAAATGAAATAGAGTCAGATACATGCTAGGGCTGGAGCGATAGCACAGCAGATAGGGCACTTGCCTTGCACATGGCCAAGCCAGGTTCAGTTCCTCCGTCCCCTTGAAGAGCCCGGCAAGCTACCAAGAGTATCTTGCCCTCACGGCAAAGCCTGGCAAGCTACCCATGTTGTATTCAATATGCCAAAAACAGCAGTAACAACAAGTCTCACAATGGAGACGTTACTGGGCACGCTCGAGCAAATCGATGAAAAATGGGAGGACAGTGACAGTGACAGTGATATACTAGGCATGTACCCTAACCACTGTACCATCTCTTGGCCCATAATTAGCACTTTTACATGAATACACACAGAGTTTGGGATCATATATAATTTTTCCATATATACATATACACACATATTTGTTGTTGCTAAAGTTCTCTACTGGCTAATGTCCAATGCTAGGTAAATACTATGTTGACCAGGTCAACATAATAGCAAACATGTGTGTGTGCTTTCTCTCTCTCTCTCTCTCTCTCTCTCTCTCTCACACACACACACACACACAC